CAGCGCTTGTCTTGCGTCAGCGCGACGATTATGCTTGGTTGCATTATGCTGAGTTTCATTCCGTCCCAGCCAAGCAGAGCAGCATTGGCTGCTGTGCTGAACTCACGTTAGATGTTTCGGGATCTGTGTTCTTGAGACAACGAGTTTGTTTACATCCAAGCCCCGCAGTGCTGCCCAGGGCCTGGCTGCACTGAGCCTATGCCTTGTCCATCCGTCGTTGCTTGATACCGACACTGATCCCACTGAGTAGCGGTGCGCACACATGAGTGTTTGCAAGTGTAGCAGCTCAGGAGGTAATGCAGCTGTCGTAGGGCTCCCGAAGCAAACTCTCGCTGCTCCGCCATCCGGAGAGCCATCCGGAGAGCACTCTGCCAAAGAAATGTTTTATTTGAGCGACATGCTTGTGTGTGAAGCAGCCGGTTTGCGCCGAGGTCTTTCTTCGTCGTTCTTGGTGTGGGCCATGAGCTCGTGAACTCATGCTTGCTGGCACACCGGCACGCCATCTGCAGTCCATGTTACCTGGCTGACAGGTGCAGATGATGTGTTTGTATTGCATGATGCCTGCTGCTTAACCACAGCTCGGCATGAGACTCGGCACACGCTGACGGTGTCAGGGTGTGACGGTGTCGCAATCGAGGTGTGGGTCCTGTCTCGGGTGCGCAGCCCGGCCTTTCTGAGACGTTTCGACTTTCGACTTCCCCCAAAACGCACGCTGACTCCCAGCGCCACGGTACCGGTGAGATGGCCCTGGCGCGGCGGCTGCGTCTGGGCGGCTTTAAATTCAAGTCCTTTTTGGGTTGGGTCCCGGTTGGGTTGTGGTGCGGGGTGTGGTGGGTTTTGGGTCAGTGTTGCTTTTGCTTCAGGTGGTCGATGTACTGCAAAGCTGGAATGGCGATCTTCGCGACATCTGCCTGGAATCCCAGGGCGGTGTGGCAGTCCATTCCTGAAGTTGCATCTGCCAGACGCAAGAAGTATCTGCCCGAAGCATAGCGTTAGCACATGAAGAAAGCAGCAAAAGCATCGATCCGAAACCCCGTCATCGTCCGCTCTCCAGAAGCCTGAAGCCAAGGCCACGACGGCCGCGTCCTTCTTTGCCAACCTAGCCAGGTCTTTTCCTTAGCAGCGAGATGGTGGAGTGACCCAAGGATCACCAAGAACTTCTGGCTTGGGTCAAGTTTCGGCGGCGGTATGTTCAGAGGGTCGGGATGCATTGGCAAAGATCCCACTGGATGCAGCCAGCGCCCAGTTCCATTGGTCCGTTGCGGCAATTCGGCTTCTTCATGGGCACTTGCATCACTGCAGCTTGGCAGATTCCTGCAGACAGAATTTGCCTTTCTAGCTCACGGTTACGAACAGTTCTCTTTATTACACTCTGAGCTGTTGCTGCCGGCGAGGTGAACTGGATCCTTGTCGCAGTGATGCGGCTGGGCAAGAGTTGTCCATAGTGTTCAAGCAGGGATGCCACCGGTAGAACAGCGGTGTCAGCAGCAGCTTTGCGAATCCTATCCAACTGTTCTTCGATATGAAGCAAGAGCCCAGGTACCCGCTCATTCTCGTGAACTACGAACGTTCCACCTGCAAAGGTGTCTTGGACTGATTTTGCAGCATACGCTCGAGGGTATGTTCCAACTGACTCTAGATCTTACCGTCTTACACGAGATAGCCAGCTTCGGTTTGAGGAGCCCTGATCGAAGCCGAGCAGTCCTCGCCCATGGAGGTCCAGACTCAAGCAAAACATGAAATCGAGCGATTCTGGGTCATCCGTGCGGCATCGACGCATCGCAGAGGTTTCCAGTGCTTGCCTGTGCAGGAGCAGCTGGTCGACAGCCAAGGGACGGACCTGGACTTGGAGGCGCGAAGCGGCGAAGCATGCACCAGTCATGTAATTACCAGATATTACCACGAGCCTCGACCATTCACGAGCACACGGGAGGATGCCTCCGGATGCTCTCCAGGCGCTTTCTTTCCAGTTCTGACTTCAAGCGTTTTCGCAGTGTGCGTGTCTTAAAAGGGGATGTCGTCCGGCGAGCCTCCTCGAAGGCGAGAGCTTCGCACGTTGCATGAGGAAACTTCGGAAAGTTTAGCCTGGCCAGGGCACACTTGGAGGTGGCCTGGCAGTTAAGGCGCGCTTTTGCAGAGTTGAAACCAGTTGAACTTTCGAGCCGCTCTAAGATGCTGGCACTCTGCATCAGCTTGCTTGGCATGGGCGCTCGGCACTCAGAAGACCGCGGGGACCGCTTTGCATGACAGCTCAGAGCTCAGGGGAGTGTTTACGCTCTTCAGTCAGCTGCCTGGGGCTAAGGCTTAACTTGATCGGACCCCAGCAGGGACGTTTATCAGCCATCTGCTCAGGTTAGCAACCTGCGCCCCTCGAATGGTCTGCCGAAGTTTTTCCCAGAGGACAGCGGACGCGAGCTGATTCTAAAGCCGGAAAGTTGAGCGTCAATCCTGCAGGACAGCAATCTCGGCGGATTGCAGGAGCTTCAGATGTGACTTGGCCTGATGTCCCGCGTGTTTGAGCTGTGAAGCCCCATGCAGACCTCAGGCGCTTCGGCAACGAGACAAGCATTGAATCGACGGAGAGGGGCCGGTTGACACTTTGCATCCCGAGTCCGGTGGGCGTATTTCTTTTTGAGTCAGTCCGAGTGTTTGTGGGTGGAAGGACGCACGTATGCAAGTCGGCACGCTCATGATGCTAGAGCTGCTAGAGCCATGCTGAATCAGTTTGAAAGAGGAGTCAGTTCTGTCGCAAACGAACGCCGATGGATCTCTCCCGACTTGGGCTGCCAGTTTGAGCATGGCAGGAGCTCAAGCTTTGCCACGGCAGGGCGCAGGATGCCAAGCTTGCCTGCGATGGGGAAAGCAGGTGCGGGCCCTTCGGCCCTTTCCCTGTCGGGTCACGGGCAATGGTAGACGAGACTGGAGAAGATTCTGCCGTCCAAGGCCAACACCGACCGTGGTGCCGCCGACAGAGCCGCCGCCGCTTCACCTGCGAAGAGCTCAAGAGACTTGAGTTGTGGAATCTCCCCGGGCTTCTGCGAAGTGCACAGGCCGGGCAACTTCAAACCTGCCGCGATGCCCCGGCCGTCACCGCCTCCATCACCGCCTCAGTCTCAGGGCAAGGATTCAACTCGGCGCCTCGACGGGCCTCGCGTTCTGCCAGGCCACTGCCGCATCCGCCACTGACACCGCCATCGCAAAACCACCCTCCTCGGCCAGCCTCTGAGACTCTCGGGAATTACATGGGGGAATGAGTCGGCAATGCTGGGAATGGCCGAGTCCGCAGCCGACGCGTCGGCCAGCCGCAGCTTCTCAGAGGCGGACACTGCCATGCCTTTGTTTCTTGTGTTCCCTTGCTCGCATGCAGTGCTCCGTCCCATGCTTTCGTTAGGCCTTCGCGGCCTGTTGGGCCTTCGTCGGCCTCAGGGCCTTCAGCCGCTCTCTCATCTTGGACTGGCGGGGGCGGAGGAGGGCACCTTCGGCGGATCCTCTTCTGAGGCCGAGGCCGTGGGAGGCTTCGACCTGCAGCTCGAGGCCACGGCACCACGAGCTTCGAACAGAAACGAAGCGCAGCGCCCGCCGAAGGTGAAGGGCCACTCCTCTGCCGACATCCAGGCGTCTTCTGCACAGAAATCAGCTGAGCAGACGAGGGCGTCTTCTGCAGGAGTTTGAGGATCTCGTGCGAGCCGGGAGCTGAGAGTCTCGCGCTCTTCTCTCTGCACATGCCATGCACGATCAGGACCAGATCGTGGAGAGCTTGCAGCTTTCGCCCGAAGACCTCAGCTTCGACATCAAGAAGGTTAAGGTGCCTGGACTCGGTTGGACAAAGAGGAGACTCAGAGCTCAACTCAGAGGTGCTCGACGGGCGCCGTCTGCAGGGCCAATACGAGGCAGCCTCCGAGAGAATGCAAAGAAGCGGCTCGCTCGCTCGCTCGCTCTCTCTCTCTCTCTCTTTCTCTCTCTCCCTCTCTCTCTCTCTCTCTCTCTCTTTGTTAAATGACACCTCCCGAATG